GAAAAACATCATAACGTTGAGCTTACAAACACCGAAGTATAATATCTAACCTAGATCAGCATTATGAGTTCCACAAACATATGAATGCTAAAGACATGGTACTAAGCAGTAGGTACATGCATGATCTTAATCAAGTGCTACATACTTAAGGTTTAACTATTCTATCACTAAAGTAGGATCTCATGTTTCCCTTAATCCTCTACTAAGGGCCTAATGATGCTTCTAATAATATAACAACAATAAGTGCAAGAATATACCATCGTTTATCAAGTAGTAAAAGTGGACGCAACAAGTACATCGAGTATCATATCCATATATATTAGTATTACTTTGTAGAATTGTTACGCAAAAAATGTAAAATTGTGTATTGTTGATGAATGGAGCAATGTTGTAGCAATATAATAGAAAACAAAACAAAATAAAAGAGATTACAACAAAGTAAATGAAGTAGTGATCAATTTAGACAGGATTATGGGATATTAAACAACATCATGCAATTAACAATGATGTAGCATTACGATTGCTGTGTCTAGCATTAACCTAGCAGGTTATTCTTCTATCGAAAATATTCACCAACAAATTACTAGGACTATATCCCTTTAGCAATTCAAATAAGTGTACTAAGAATACTATGATAAATTGTCTGAAAAAATATCTTTTATGCTAAATGTTTCTCTCATAGATGTTGATGTTATTCATGATGTAACCTACTCTTGCAACATTACTAGACAATTTATATCTCTACAAACAAGTCTAAAATTAAACTATAGCAACACCAATCAATAATACTAAAACAAAGTGAATAAACATGAAATCCAAAAAAATATTTCAAAAATAAAAGATCCAAGTTTAACATCTCAACATAAAATAAAAATAAATCATCTTAACAAAATAAACTCCCTTTCTCAAGTTCGATCTGAATCGCTAAGATGACGCTTAATCAATCGTTGGCCTTCGTTCTAACTGTTGCAACATGTTTCACATCCAAGTGTTGTTTTCCCAAATGTTTTTAGGCTGCCATAGCTACAGTAGGAGAGAAAAATAAAAGACGACTATGAAAATTAGGGTTTCTAAGGATAAATAAAGTGTGTGAAAAATAATATATTTACAGCCCATCAAAGTCAAACTTTCCACCACTAGAAAAGTTCCATTTTTTGAAAGCTCATTGAGTTTAAATTCCAACCTTTTTTTCTGTAGCTTTATCAATTCCTAAATTTTATCTTAACAGTTTGTGACTCAACAATTGCTGCAGAATCATCTCAACAATCCATCCGGCATCAGCTCACAACAATGTCTATAGTGTTAACAATTTCATAGCATTGGTATATCAATTTGCAGAAAAAATAATAAAATCTACCCAAGTACTAACAATTCACTCCCAATATGCAAATGATGTAAATATGCTAAAATAAATATAAATATGATTCTAAAATTTCTAAAGTAGAAGTTGAACCTAAGTAAAAGGCTCTAAATAATAATTCTTTTTTATAATTATCACACCGCTAAATCTAAGTGTTTGCTTGTCCTCAAGCAATGCATGACAATAACTTTCCCTCAATAATTAGACATCATAACTCTCACACTTGTCTTGTACCTTTCACCACATAACCTTAGCAATTTTCTGCCAATCATTTTCGTATCTCAAGACAACCAAAAATTAACTCAAATCAACTTTTAAAGCTTATGCATGTGTGCGTTCTTAGTCGTGATAGTTCACCATCATGGGTATTAGCAAAGAATACCATAATTATCAAAGTAATTAATAAAGCAGATGATGTCATAATAATTACTTTGTAGCTTAACTAGAGCTTTAACTTATCACATTTACGTGCCAATACTTGAGTGTATTGTCAACAACGAACTCCATAGCCTTTTAGGTAGAGTCATCCCATGCAGACTTTCATTCACTCATGCTATCTGATACTATCTTTCCTACTTAGTATTCACTAAGCGTACCAAAATTGCCTTAGCAACGAAGTTTCCTAGAGCTAAAAGATTTCCATGAACAATTTATTCAACTAGAATCAGTTTGGCACCTCTAGCAGTTCACACAGAACTTATACAAAATATAATAATTTTTTAATGCAAGATAACTAAATATTCTCCAAAATATCCACAAATGAACCAAGCACAACATTCGATAAATAATTTAGCATCATAAGAATCATTAAGGCAATCTCATGTTATCTTTAAATTCTAAGATTGTTGACATTATATTGCTATCGACAATCATCTCATCATAGGTAAATACAAAGTCTAGACAATTGTTTGTCTATCTAAATAACGTGATAAAAAATATCTTGGAAAGGTTGAATGAACAACACAAAATATGAACATGACAAATGCATATAATAATGAACAACACAAAAAAATAATACACCCCAAACCTATGATGTTCATTTCCCTCAATGCATGCAAAAATAATAAGACATGGGAGAAAGGACACCAATACTCCGCTAATGTTTTTGCAGATGTTGTATTATTAATGATATAGAAATGATAGTTTGGAATGCAAGAAGATGATGGGTAGTAAAGTTCATTTGTAACTCTAGTTAATGCTGTGAAGAAAAGGCAACATGTAATGAATGATGGTGCGGCAATCGATGTGGGAACATTTCCTAAAAAATATTAAGAAAAGAAAAATTATAAATTAAACTAAAAAATCTAATTTAATGTCATAAATGACTTATTGAAAGCATGTAAAAATGTTTTCACATATTGAAATTGAGGTTTGTGATAACATATCCTAGGTCCCAGTAAAACGATATCCCTTTTTGCTTGTTGAAGGTTGATATGACATGATCATGTTGCACTTAGTCCTTTACACTTGTGAAATTGAGACATTGTTTGAACTAAAAATCGTGCTTGTTGGAATCAGTCATGAATCACACTTCTTCATTGTCACCATAGAAATGTTGTAGCTTGACAGGTTGAATCTCCAAAGAAGGAATTTCATTATAAGATCCTTGTGAGAGCTTCCTTGATCTTTTGGATGATGTTGTGTTTTTCTACACCATGCAACATTTACAATTTTCCTCAGGTTCTTATCTTACGACTCTGTTATTGACATTATTAGTGTAGAACTATTGTTGATGAGAGGATCAATGTAGAAGCATTTATTCCCATCAAATGACTTAGTATCTTCATGGTTTGGCTCATTTGATTCTTCTGTTGTTCAGACATTGGGAGTGATAATCACAATATCGTGACATTTATCCATATATTACTGCACAATTTCATCAAATGATGTCAATAGCATGACATTCAACATTATTATCATTCATAACAAGATTTAAAACATTAAAGGTAATGTGTTCATCATCAAGACGAATAGTAAGTTCTCCCTTTTCAATATCGATTATCACTCTACCTGTAAAAATGAATGGCCAGCCAAGTATGATTGACACTTCTTAGTCAGATTCACAGTCCAAAATAATAAATTCTGTTGGAAAAAATAAAATTTTCCACTTGGACTAACACATTCTAAATCTTGCCCTTGGATACACAGTGGATTGGTTGGCAAGTTGAAGTGTAACTATTGTGGTTTATGCTTTACTAATCCCAAGTTTCCTAAAAATAGACAAAGGCATTAAGTTAATATTATAGCGTAACTCACATAAAGCTCTACCTATGTATTAATTTCCAATAGTGCAAAGATTAGTAAAACTCCCTAGATCCTTTAACTTTGGAGGCAATTTGCTCGTGACAATGGAGTTACACCCTTCAATGAGTGCAATGGTCTCAAAATCACCAATTCTACGTTTCTTGTAAAGCACCTCGTTTATAAATTTAATGTTGTTTTCCATTTGCTCCAATGCTTCTAGTAATGGATGTTAACACTAATTTTCGTAGAACATCAATGAATTTTCTAAATTGTCAGTCCTTCTTGCTTTTCTAGAATCTGAGAAAATAGAGGTGGAGGTCTTGGATTTTGTTGCAATGTCAATGCTGCTGGCATCACATGTGGTAGTGTTGTCGGCATTGCTAGAGGTAATGTCCTAGAGTTACTGCTATGACTTTCATATTTTGTTGTGACATCCAATGCTGGTGTCTTAATTTTAACTTCCAACTCATTGCCTTTATATTGTTGTTTATGTCTCTCATCCTCCTCCTTTTTGCTTTCATCATTTGATTTTCCAACGTGGAGTCCACTACGTGTTGTGAGGACTTTGCAATGCTCATTGTAATGAGTTTTTTCTTGAGCTTTTGGAACGTTAGTGTCACTTGGAAATACTCCTTATGATATGTTGTTGAGAATATTGGCCATCTTTCCAACTTGATTCTCCAATGCTCTTGATAACCTTGCTGATTGTTGCGTTGGTTAGAATTCTACCCTTGGCAACCTTATTTGTTGTTGTGTTGATGTTGAAGCATCGAGTACTACTAAGTTTATTGTTTGTGCGAATAATGCTATTGTGTATTCCTAAAATTTGATTGTAATGTCATATTGAGGTTGGCCACATTCTAACTTCTACAAGATAAGATAGGATGCTTTCACAAGTTTGGATTGTAAGTATTCACATAAGTATTGGTATTGTCATTCCTGTTTTAATTCCTAAAAAAGAGTACACATACTCATGGTTTTTTGGACATTCTTCAAAGTTATGGTTATCACTACAATAAACACAATTGACAAGAGTTGTAGCCTTTTCCTCATACATACCTCTAGGCTTTTGCATGTTATTCATCATTTCAGTCAATAATGTCACCTGTGTGGTCAATGTGTTCAAAGTATCGATATCCACTGTTGTTACAATGCGTCTACCTAATATGATCCTTGTATTAGGGTATTGATAGTCATTATTGGAAATCCTATCCAAGATATCATAAGCTACGTTGTAGGATTTGTCCAACAATTCTCCATTGGCAGAGGCATCTACAACCATCCTCTATTTGCGTCCAATGCTGGAAACAATGAATTGGACATTTCCGCATTAAGTCTTTAAAACTTTTGCATGTTAAGAACATTGTAGAATATCTATAATTGTGTCCAATGTTGGAAACCATGAATTGGAAACTTTTATATCAAGTCTTTAAACCTCTCACATGCTTCATTCAAGTTCCCATCCATTATTTGCTCGAAAGATATGATGTCATTCCTAAATCTAGCATTCATGTTGGGAGGGTTGAATCACATCAATAAATTTTTTGGCATGTTCATTCCATGATGCTATAGCACTGGGTGGTAGCGAATTGAGCCACGTCTTGTCTTTGTCACCAAGTGACTATGGAAATAATTTTAGCTTCAAGCCTACTTCGATCACTCCTTACTATATGAATGAATCACACACTTTCATAAATTCTCGCAAGTGTTCTCTAAGGTCCTCAATGTGCATTCCACTATATTACCCCATTGATTACAACATTTGAAACATCATCAACTTTAACTCAAAGTGGGCAACATGGATAGCCAACTAAACAATATCATGATTTAATTCATCAAGAATGAGTACAACGTGCTCTCTAATTTTCCTATTTATGTCATCAATGTTGTGGTAATGTGGCTGCATCATTTCATTACGCTAAGGTGGAATCCTCTCTTTATTTTTCCCATTGTTGTTTGGGAAATTCTAATATCTTTAATTGGCAATTATAGTTCACCATCATTTCCCATAACATTCTTCTTCATGTTTGGATCTTGTTGATTTTGTTGTCTCCTTCGGTGAAAAGTTCTCTCTATCTCTGAATTAAAAGGTGTTAAGTTCTGGATGTTGTTGTGGGTCATCCACTAGCAACACCCAGTTAAAGCTACCTAAAATAGTAAATAAAAAGCTACTAAATAAAATAAAACAACTCTAAAAGTAATGACACTAATCCTTGAAAATGGAACCAAAAACTTGATGCTTCAAATAATATAACAATAATCAGTGCAAGCATACACTATCGTTTATCAAGTAGTAAAAGTGGACACATCAAGTGCGGCGATTATCTTATCCACGTAGATTAGTGTTACTTTCAGAATTGTTATGCAGTAAACGTAAAATTGTGTATTATTGATGTAGGGGGTAATGTTGGAAAAATATAATAGAAAACAAAATAGAATAAATGAGATTCAACACAATAAATGAAGAAATGATCGATTTAGGTAAATGATTGTGGGGTGTCAAATAACAAAAATGCAATTAACAATGTGTAGCATTACGATTAGTGTGTCTAGCATTAACCCAACATGTTATTCTTCTCTCAAAAGTATTCATTAACAACTTATAACAAGGACTATATCTCTATAACAATTCAAATAAGCGTGCTAAGAGTGCTATGACAAAATAGTTAATAAAAATCTCTTTTATGCTAAATATTGCTCTCAGAGATGATGATGTTATTCATGATGTAACCTACTCTTGCCGCATTACCAGGTAATTTATATCTCTACAAACAAGTAAAAATTAAACTCAAGCAACACCAATCGATAATACTAAGGCAAAGTGAATAAACATGAAATTCATAAAATATATTCAAAATAAAAGATCCAAGTTTATCATCTCAACATAAAATAAAAATAAATCATCTTTAAAAAATAAACCCCCTTTCTTACATTTGATCTAACTAGCTGAAATGAAACCCAATTGATCATCGAGCACCGTTCTCACGGTTACAACATGCTTCATGTATGTGTTATTTTCCCAAAGGTTTTTAGGCTGCCATGGTGGTGTTACGAGAGAAAAATAAAAGAAAACTATGAAAATTAGAGTTTTTAAGGTTGAATAAAGTGTGTAGAAAATAATATATTTATAGCCCATCAAAGTCAAACTTTCCAGTAATAAACCTTTTTTTCTGAAAACTCTTTGAATTTTAATTTCAACCTTTTTCCCATAGGTTTATCAATTCCTAAAATTTCTCTAACCGCCTTGTGACTTAGCAGTTGCCATAGAATCGTCTTGGCCATCCAATCCAACATCAGTGCACAACAACAACTACAACATTAGCAATTTCACAACATTAGTATATCAATTTGTAACAAGAACATTAAAATAAACCCAAGTATCAACAATTCACTCACAATATGCAAATGATGTAAAATATACTAAAATAAATCTAAATATGATTCTAAAAATGCTAAAGTACAAGCTTGACCTAAGTAAAATGCTTTAAATAATAACTCTTTTAGAGAGTTATCACCTCGCCATAAGTATACCTCTAAAGGGTCTCTAACCCTAATGATTATAATGCTACAAATTTTCTTAATGCAACACTAATGTTGCTATGCATTATTTGAATACAACACTCTGCTAGTATCTGGTCTCACATAGCCATTAGAAACTAATTTACTAAGGGAACCATGTGTCACATAACATTGATAAAATTCTCACTAAGCTGCTTAATGATCTCTTTATCTCACATAGCCATCAGGTAGATCATGGAGGGGAACCCTATCATCACATAACAACCGATATAATTCCCGCCCAACTGAAGTATTGGCTAGATCTCACATAGCTATCAAGCCAAGATCTAAAGATATCTGATATGCTGGACTGATGCAACTATACATACATGAATGATGGCCCTAAGGTCACATAATGCTGACAATGTCCTCTAGGGAAACTAAGGTAGCTTAGCTATACCCTAGGAATAGCTAGACACACTAAAGTGAGACCATCCTCTCATTAGTTGTTATCTCACTCATTCTCTTACCTAGAACGTTATGCAAAGGTTTATTAGTATGTTACTTCTATTGTTTATTAAGCTGCTCTATTATGGTAATTTGTTACTTAAGGAAGTTTTAGTCATTTTTTGTCTCTAAAGAAGTCTTTATGCATTTTGTGATTTTACGACGATTACTGATTCTATTGTTCAGTAGTGGTAATACTAGCTAGCCTGATACCTATCTTGGGTTCAATACTGGGTAGCGACACTATAGTCACTCTTATCGTACTTCTCCCTAAAACCCCTTAAATTAGAGGGATGAATAATACGTTCTTGATTTATTGATGTTCTTATAGTACATGATTCATCTATTTTGTAATAAGATTAATTCGTCATATTGTTTGTCGGTAGATCCTCTATAATAGCAATTTGGTAATTTCAGCCTCCAAAGGTATTTTAGTAACCTCCGGTAGCGAGATAGATACATGATCTCAATCGATATTAAACTCCTCACTCTTGAGTCTATTTGACATCTTGAAGTCACTCAACCACTTTGGGTATTGATACCAAGCCTTTGATATAGATACCTAATCTTCAGTGTGGATACCAGTTCATCTGGTATGGATACCAACTCATCTGGTATGGATACCAATCCCCCGGTATGGATAACAATTTATCCGATATGGATACCAGCGATATCGATACCAAGAATCTGGTATTGAGACTATCATTCAGTATCGATACTACAACCCTCAGTATCGATACTAAAAGATTAGTATCGATACTCGTCCCATCAATAATGACACTCTCTATTAAAATTGCCTAGATTCCATCTTATTTCATTCACTATCGATACTCGAACCCATAAATGTTTTATTTAAGCTCGGGAAAAACCCAAAAATCATCCCAAAGGTCTTATTTTGATTCCTAATCATGGATTAAATCTTTAGAAAGTTACTTAGGGTCTTAAAGTGCCATAAAAACACTTTCTTTACAACTAAACGTCATTTAATTATGAAATCAAGTACAAACCCTAAATGCTCAAATATACAAATATTAGTAATTCTTCATATTTATGAAAGCCATAACACTCAAAAGGATTAGAAATACACTAACTTGATGTTAAAATCCTGAAATGAAGCTTCTTTCTTAGCCACACTCACTTCTTATAGGATTTGGTTGATCAACCCTCATTTTCTCTAACAAGCAAGGAAGCCAAGGCTTTAGATCATCAAAAAAATTTGCTAGAGTATTAGGTAAAATTTTGAAGTATGAAAGATTCTCAAGAATTTACCTTTGAGCTATTGCACTTAAGAAGGAAAAGGGTGAAGGAAATGAGATAGAATAAGGTGAAGAGAAGAATATGAAAGCTTTTCATATTTTGTCCCCAAAAACCTATGTATAAGGCCAAATAAATCCAAAGGTTAATTAGCCTTTTTTCCCTAATGTTATAATTACACTTTAAGTCCTTCATATTTTAAGCAAAAAACCCCTTTTTATGATCAATTGGGTCCAATTCACAACCAATTAAGCCCGCAGTTGGTGCAACAACTTTAATTACAAACTCCACGAGGTCTACATGTCTCTCAAATAAACCCAAAATTAATAGCCCAAAATTTTGTGTATTACAAATATGCACGTTGAAATTTTCTCGTTGCAGCCGCCCGTTATCCAACGGCAATAAACAACTAGTTTTTTTAATTCCAGAGTAACTCATCACCTCGATGTGACGATTTCTATAGTTTTTTTAAATTTCTTTAAAAACATTATTTATTGATTTTAATATAAATTATAAATTCCATACGAGACTCGTCACATTGACAAGATAAGTTCATGTTAATATATTAAAATAATAACTCACATGGAGCCCATTTTGTAACACCCCTAACTCGTACCCGATCCGGATACGAGTCAGAGGTCTCACGTTGACTTTTTAAAGCGTTTTTCCTTTACAAACGGATAAAATTTAAATTCACATATTTCCCATATAACTCATATCATATGATTCATATCTTATTCTTATATCATCATATATATCCTCTATGTTCATTTACTTAATCTCTTATGTTCATATATCACATATTCATATCATTCATTATGGAAATATCATATGACTTATATAAACATATATATATCACTTATACCACTTCCTATATCTTATGACATTAGCATATATTCACACAAATCATGTTACACATACAATAACATATAACTCATGCACTCTTAACAAGCACATGTTCATGTTCATGAATTCATGCATAATACTATAGGAAATAGACTTGTCGCAAGTCTTAGTTCCATTAAATATCATATACTATCTACTATATACTCACATGTACCTCACTTGCTATCAATTACTCCTACAGCTTACTTTCTCTTCTTGATCAATTCTAACCTTTCAGTCATTCCGTAACTTGCTTACGCTCGATGTCTACATAATCATACATTTATACATATCAGTATTCTAAATATCATACTTTAATTCCTCATTTCTTAAACTAAAAGAAAGGAGAAATTCATTTT